GATAATAATTATTAATATTATTAAATCTACCTTGGCACAAACCTGTCAGTACTACTATTAAAGTGGAAAAATAGGAAAATTCATCAGTCAAGAGGTGTATATCACGTTATTTCCTGTAGATATTATTTTCAAAACCCCCCAAAAAGATAAAATTTGCTCTAGAAATATTGTTATGAGAGCTTCATTCCCTGCAGTTTTAGCTTAAAAAGCGTACAATCAAATATGATTATTGTAGAAATTTATACGAGATGCATTCACAGTTTTGTTGTTGCAATCGAACCTCATCACGCGGCCCTCTATTTAGCAGTCATCCTCCCCCATTTAGTATCGACTATCATGAATTCCATAAAATTCCATTATCATATATATTTGTGTAAATTAACATGACCAGTCTATTAAACAACCAACCGGTCACATGSCTTTCCGCCGAGGTGACCACTTAGTCAGAAGTTTTGATTCCACAATGGATGACCAATGAATTGCTCTCGTTTATAATGTCATAACACAAAGTAACAAGATGTATCTTCTATCAAATGACAAACTTAAAATTGTAGAATAAGTAATTGCTTTTACAAAATGGTGTGTCTGACTGRGTCATCCCTTAGCTTTCCCGGTCATTCCTTGTTATTTTGCGACACTATGCCTACCGGTCCAAGATGGCGGCCAAAACCGTCACCTCATCTATTTACTGCAAAAATAGAAGAATTTAAAGAAAGTGTTGATTTCCTGCCGATTTAGATGGCACCTAGTAAAATGTTGAGAAAAACGATTTAACATGCGTTTTTGTGCTTTGCTTAAATGGAGTAGAGGAGAAGAATAAATCCCATGTTTTTTTATTTCTCGAAAAGAAATCACTGATCGACAATACTCCATTTTCGACTTCAAAGCGAACAACCACTTGTTTTGTTTGAAAACAGATCATGTCTTGATGTGTAGAGGCCTTACCAAACACGCGCGAAAGACCACGAGAAAATGTSGTCATTACATTCTACAACAGCCTTGAAAATTTGCAACTTTTTTTCATTTTGAAACTAACCTTGCATTCGCAAAGGGCTAAGGTTTTTACCAAGCCTTTTTGGAATACAGGATTAGCCTCGACTCGCCGTTATTAACATGCAAACTGTAGGGGCTATATTGTAATTACGGCATTTTTTCGTGCTATCCTTTGTTTCCGGAAAGAGCCAAAAGAATCTGCGTTTTTTTTTTTTTAGACATTTTTATTTTTTCGTCAATTGTCTTTTTCAATAGTGTTCTCTTTATTTTCTCTCATATCAGTTTTTAATTTTTCGCCGTGTTTCTTTATTATTTCACTTGGGTTTCGCGGGAATTTCCGCGACCACATAACACCGGAAGTGACTGATCATTGGTTGAGAAAAATTCAAAAAACATTGACACAAAACGCTGACCAAAACCATTACAGATCATCATGATCATGTAGCATCCTAGTAACGGGCTCCTACGAAAACTCCTTCTTAAACAAATATCCCTTCTTCCTTTGTAAACCTTTATTTTCACAGTTTATTTGTAAGCTCGTGAAGTATCTTTCTAACAGAAGAAGAAAAGTATTACACTGCATTATTGCAGGTTGTAACCGACGCCGCCTGAAGGGCTATTTTGTTTTTAAGCAAGGATTAGTTCGTCCGTGTGGTTCCGAATGAGTGACTTTTTCAATATTTGTCATATAATACCCCATTATGTCTTATAATTAATTTACATACAATTGGCACATATATTCATGATTTTCGATACTTGATCGGTTCATTGACTACGAACAAAGCATTGAACCGAGGCGCCAAGGTACACTGAGCGCAGAGCTTTTCTTTTATGCTTACTGTACCTTGACGCCTCGGTCCAATGKRTTGTTCGCGGTCATGGAATATTGTGAATAGGTACCGTAACT